CACCAAGTGGAGCCTGACTTAACCAGAAGGCCTCGCTCGGCACAGACCCTACTCTTGCCAAACTCCAGGCCACATTGGGCCCTGAGCAGAGGATGTACCGGGGCTCGTTCAGGCGCCCCTCCTCTCCTCTGTGCTCGCCTGCCTCCCCCCCCCCCCCCCCCCCCCCCCCCCGGCCCCCCCTGCCCTGGCTCACCCACATTACCTGCTCCTACCACCACTGCATCGTATTCCTGCTTCAGGTGTCGCCCAGCTTTAGAGTGAACTTGTCTCCAAGCAGAGCAGGACAAGGCGCCCAAGGCTCTCCTGAGGCCTGTGCCAGGGCCACTGGCAGCCATCTCAGCCACAGGAACTTGCTTGCAGTCAGCTCTTCTGACTGCAGGGCGGGGAGGGGGCGGGGAGAGGCCGGTGGGCTGGGGAGAAGGCTGGGAGTGGGAGGAGCGCTGTTGCTCTGCCTCCCTTTGGCCTTGAGCTGTGACTAGCCCCTGCCCGGGTGGCGGGGCGGGGAGTGGGGAGGAAGTCCAGGAGGGGAGTGGATGAGAGGGACAGGCTATCTGAGCTGGGCTCTGCGCCACCTCCTGAACTCAGGTTGACAGTTCGTCAGGGCAGGGAGCCAATCATTAAGCCCAGGCTGAGAGGGAATCCTACCCTAGGAGAGGAACAGCCAAGACTCTGCCTGGCCTGCAGGACAGAGTCTGACAGTCCAGGGCAGCCATTGCTCCTTACCCCCAGAGGCTCACACAGCCAAGGTCTAAGCCTCCATTCAGCCTTCAGTACAGCCCTTTAGCCACCTCCATGGTCTCTTCCCAGAGAATGTTTGCCAGGCTGGGCACAAGTTCCCGGTCTCTCATTCTGAGGGTTCATCCATTTCTTCTGTACCTTTCCTACTTTCCAATGATCTTCAAAGGTGACTGAGTCACCTCAACCTTAGTTACTTACTGTCATACCTTCCCAGGCAAAGCCCCTGTGCTGCTGCTCTCTCCTCTAAAGCTGTTCTCACATGGCCAGGCCCAGGCCCTGCTAGTATCACAGGAGCCTGCTGCTAAAAAATGCAAACAAATGCAGAGCCAACGGTTCTGAGGGAGGAGGATCCCTCTACTCTCAACATGGTTGGTCATCTAGGCAAGGCTCCCCCGGTGAATGTCTCTACTCCAATCTGATTCAGGTTATTCAACCCAGTGTTGTCATCTGCCACAGCCCTCAGGCTTCAAGAACTCCATCAACTGCCCATCGAAATTGTTAAAAAATATTCACATCTGCACTCAACACAGGCAGACTTCTTTCTTGTCGTTGATCCCTAAGCAATGCAGTATGCTAGCTGTTTATGTGGTATGTACCTATTAGGTAATATAAGTAACTTACAGATGCTTTGATGTATAGGACAGGGTGCATGCAGGTTACAAGCAAATCTTATACCTTTATTTAAGGGACTTGAATGTCAGATTTGGGGATCTATCGAGGGTCCTGGATCCCAGATAACTAGGGATGATTAGATAGATGTGTCAGAGAACTGTTAACTAGACACTCCCACCATGCAGCCACTAAGAATTAAGGGAAAAAAACTTTTTTTTAAAGCGAGTGTTTTAAACAGTGGTAGGCTGATGGGCTAGGTGCTCGTTCCCTTGTGCTCTCTGAATTTTCCACGCCTGGTATTTTTCTTTTCCACCCATAAAATCATGATATTGGGTTGAGTTTTCTGGTACATCCACTGCCAGTTACTTAAAGAGTTGAGTTGGGAAAGATGGAGGTTCAAGGCCTATTTGGAGAAAAAGTTATTAGCAAGACTCCATGTCAATCAATGAGCTGGGCATGGTGGCACAGGAGGCCCGGGTAGGAGGATGGAGGTCTGAGGCCTGCGTGGGTGAAAATGCAAGACCCTATCAAAAGTAACTAAAGCAAATCAGGGCTGTGGGGGGTGGGAGACATGGGTCTCTTATGTGGCAGATTGCCTGGCCTCACAAGCACAGGGCCACAGAGGAGGAATTCAGGTCTGGTCGTCTCCAGAGGCGGATTCTGCTACCACCTTCTGAGGTGCCCTCAGCACCTGCTTTCTGCACACCTGGCCCTTGTGCAGGAAGGCCCGTCTTCTTCAAATAAGTTCCAGCCCAAGACAGACACAGCCAGCCCAACTCCCACACGCATGCTGGACAGAACAGGCCCTCCTTTCTGTGGTAGATGTGCATTCTCATGTTGCTGTTTCCCTCTACCCCTGCACTATCGCTTGGCCCAAGAGAACAGACTGTGTTTGGGCAGTCTGGTAGTCTTTTGTCCTTGGGTCTATATTGGGGTAGGATCTGCACCCCTTGGAAGTGGTCTTAATCCAAGGCACACTGGATGCCTGCCAAGCTTTGTGTATGTGTGTGTGTGTGTCCATTGTAGGGCCAGAACTCTGGGCGCCATACCTTAGTTCTTCAGCTCAAGGCTAGCACTCTACCACTTGAGCCACGGCACCACTTCCGGCTTTTTCTGCTTATGTGGTGCTGAGGAATCAAACCCAGGGCCTCATGCATGCAAGGCAAGCACTCTACCACTGAGCCACCTTCCCAGTCCCTGCCAAACCTTTAAATACATTACAACCCAAGCTCCATACTGACAAAATAACTGGATCTCTGAGCCAGGGCGGGGAGCTCAGAAGTCACAGCTCTAAGACAGAAGCGAGCAGGCTGCCCAGGAAGGAAGCTGGACCTAGGGAGATTCTCTCAATGCCAACAGGGTCCAGAAGCACTGACACACTGGGCTTGGGTGATGATCATAACCAGTATTTATTGAGCACCTACTATGTGTTTGGGAATCCTGACCACTCTGAGAGGTAGGTGTAATCAGCTTAAATATGGACAGTGAAGCTGGGTGCCAGTAGCTCATACCTGTAATCCTAGCTACTCAGGAGTCTGAGATCTGAGGATTGCAGTTCAAAGTCAGCCTGATCAGGAAAGTCTGTGAGATGCTTATCTCCAATAAACCACCAGGAAACTGGAAGTGGCGCTGTGGCTCAAGCGGTAGAGTGCTAGCTTTGAGCTGAAGAGCTAAGGGACAGCGCCCAGGCCCAGAGTTCAAGCTCCATGACCGACCAAAAAAAAAAATATATATATATATATGGACAGTGAGAAATGCCCAGAGCTGCAGAAGGGAATGGCAGTGCTGGAATACAAACCAGCTAGTGAGCACCTTTCATGTCAGGAAGGAAATAGCTTCTACTCTGAACAGCAGGAAGAGAGTGTCTTCAGACAGTTGGAGCACTGGGGCTTCCTCCCATCTCCTGGGGGTGAAGAGAGGCAGAGAAGCCTCTGCCATCTGTGCCCTTGCAGCTGCTGCCGTTGTAAGGAGACCAGTGGAATCCCGCAGGCTCCCACTGTCTCCAAGGGGAAGGCTATGGGGGCTTGCTTGTTACCCTATGTACACAGGGGTCCAGGTGTACTCTGAGAAACCCTGGGGCTGCCCCAGGACCTTGGTACATCCTTAGGAGGCCACTAGAGACAGGAGGAGACATTTGCAAGCAGGGTAGCTGGAGGTGCCCTGGCCTAGGGCAGGGGTGCACGGGAGGCCTCCCCCAGGCGCCGGACTAGCAGGCCGGCCTGCTGCACCAGCAGTTCGGTGGGAATGACGGACAGGTGCAGGGCCAGCAGCTCGTAGCACCTGACGGCTTCAGCCGGGCGGCTCTTGCTGTAGTAGCGCAGGAGCTTCCTGGGAAGCCGGGAGACAGGACTCAGAGGCAAGGTCAAGGCGCTTCTCTAAGGGGAGGGGCCTCCCACTACCCTCAGGGCTGCAGCGATGTCTCCTGTGCCTGGTGGACCACAGCTCCTCGCTCCGGGCTCTGAATCCTCACACAGTGGTGCTCTAGCTAAGAGATGCTGGTTCTGGCCCAGCAGCCAGCAATTCCCATGCTGCCCAGGGTGTACCAACAGCAGGACTGGTGCTTTGACCCCCTTGGAGCACAGGGCTGGCCTGTGAGGGGCTTGTAGCCAGGAGGGGTTCCTACCCAGGTTTCGAGCTTCTCAGGGAACCTCCCCATAAAGACAGAGGCCCTTGCCACTGATATCTGGGGTGCCTGGGGCTCCGGGGCTGACTCAGCATCACCTGTAGTAGTCACCTCCCAGCACGCCGATGGGAACGGAGTCATCCGAGAGGACAGGCACTTCAATCATCTGCAGTCTGTGGCCCTGGGGGAGGGGGGGAGGCGAGGAGGAGAGTTGAGGACAGGAAGGCAATGGGGCTCGAGGGAGATGCACAAGTGGTCCTACTAGGTGCTCAGTGGCAGGGAAAGTGCACGCACCTCTTTTTACCTTGCTTCACCATCTGGGAAGTAGGAACAACTATCACCTTATGAATATGGGCGAGAACATTCTCTCCGATGAGCATCTGTGAGGTGTGAGTGTGCACCCACAGGGGCACTCACTGCCACTACCAAGTGTGCCTGGGCTGCTGAGGAGCTCGGGTGGGCAGGGAAGGGTAGCATGGGAGAGTCTTAGGCAGGAAAGCATTCCCAAAGGGCGCAGGCCAATGCTTTGGAAGAGATGGGAACTGATGGATGGGGTAGGGGATGGTGGGTGGGGGGTGGTGTTAGAATTAAGACCCGCTGGATGTGTAGGGCACCAGGCACAGAGCTGATGCTCTCGCCCATTGCCCAGCTGGAACCCTGAGGCCCACTCCACAGGAGGGAGGCAGACGGGGGGAGAGAAGCGACCATCTACATCCACATTCACACGGGCCACGTGCTGTGGTCAGCTCACATCCAGGTCTCCAGCCCTGCTGCCTGGAGTCATCCAAGCACACGAATCCTTGGCTCTCCCTAGATGCTCAGGTAAAGTTCAAAGCAATTCCCAGTATTTCTGAAGGCACAGAGCGAAGACAAGGGCCTGTAGGTCAGTAGCGCTGGGCCTAGGTTCTGGCCCCTCCTGTGAAATCTCCGTGGCCTGAGCCCTGGTGTCTGACCATAGCAATTCCACCTGCAAAATGTGGTCAACAAAACCCACCCCATGGGGCTGGGAAGGTGGCTCAGTGGTAGAGTGCTTGCCTTGCATGCATGAGGCCCTGGGTTCGATTCCTCAGCACCACATAAGCAGAAAAAATAAAAAAAACATACCCCAACCACTGCAGAGAGCTATGAGGGACGAATGCAGTCACTGCAGTGACAGGTCCACCAAGCATACTGCACTATGGAAGTGGTGGGTTGTTGGCCTCTCTGAGCAGAGATCAGGGCAGGACTTGGGGAGGGGACAGAAGCAGGAGAACAAGGGAGGAAGGGGCTGCAGGAAATGCTCCTTACATTATTAGGACATCATTAGGATACACAGAGGGAGAGGTAAAGCAAGGAGAGCTATGTGTGGGGGTGGTTGGAGGAAAGCCGGGGGGGGGGTAGA